CTCTGTAGCAAGATTCTGAGCTGCAATCTGTTGCTGTTCCTGCTGAAGCTCTTGCAGCTCCTCAGTGGTTAGCTCTTCATTGTGGTCCTCCACCAACTCTTCCACATCCTCCAAACTCACATCCAACCCCATGGAACTCCCCAGTGCCACAATAGAGTTCACAACTGACACAGGCTCATCAGGGGCTGCCTCAAACCCTTCAAAATCCCTCCTGTGGGCACAATCTGGCCACAAGTTTCTCCAAGCAGAGTTCAAAGTCCTGGTAGTCACTCCCTCCCAAGCCTTACCTGTAAGGCTTATGCAATGGAGAATACTGAAGTGTTCTTTCCAAAAATCTCTTAGGGTCAAGCGAGTGTCTGAGGTCACATTAAAGCACCTTTCAAACATTGCTTTGGTGTTGAGTTTTTTAAACTTTAAAATGACCTGCTGGTCCATGGGCTGGAGGAGAGGAGTGGTATTCGGGGGCAAGAACTTAACTGTGATGAACCCAAACTCCTTCAGAATTAGGTCATCCAAGTTTGGAGGATGAGCAGGTGCATTGTCCATTACTAGGAGGCACTTGCGATCCAATTTCTTTTCCAGGAGGTAATTCTTCACACTAGGGCCAAACACTTCATTGAACCACTCGACGAAAATTTCCCTCGTGACCCATGCCTTATTATTAGATCTCCAAAACACACACAATTTACCCTTCATAACATGGTTTTTCTTGAACACTGGGATTTTCAGAATGGTATACAGTGGACCCCCGCATAATGATATTAATCCGTTCCTGAGAGCTCATTGTTATGCGAAATTATTGTTATGCGAATGAATTTTCCCCATAAGAAATAATGGAAATCAAATTAATCCGTGCAAGACACCCAAAAGTATGAAAAAAAAATTTTACCATATGAAATATACATTTTCCTACACACAAAGAGAAGGATACATGCACAATAGGAGAGTAGTACATGCACAATATATATTGTGCATGTACTACTCTACTAAATGAAGAATAAATGACACTTACCTTTATTGAAGATGCAGCAATGACTGATGAGACACTGTGTCCTGGGAGTGCCTTTTCCTCCTGAGTACTGTAGGTTCTGTTTGGCATTTTCTTCCAGAACAGGCCTTATCACACTGTGTATGCCACTACAATTCTTAAATCTCTCAAACCAACCTTTGCTGGCTTTAAATTCACCAATATGAGCACTAGTTCCAGGCATTTTTCCCTGTTCACCTGGGTGTTAGTCGACTGGTGTGGGTTGCATCCTGGGAGACAAGATTAAGGACCCCAATGGAAATAAGTTAGATAGTCTTCGATGACACTGACTTTTTTGGGTTATCCTGGGTGGCTAACCATCTGGGGTTAATTGTTTCTTGGTATTCTCAATAAGCCACACCAACAACGGTGCTACAGCAGCAGCAGCAGGAGCTGACAGTGCTACAGCAGCAGCAGCAGCTGACAGTGCTACAGCAGCAGTAGATGGTACTACAGCAGTAGCAGCAGCTGACAGTGCAGCAGCAGCAGCAGCTGACAGTGCAGCAGCAGCAGCAGCTGACAGTGCTACAGCAGCATCAGCATCAGCAGTTGACCATGGTACCACAGTATTTCGATAATATTTCTCACCCTTTTTACCACAGGGTTGGCACTAGAAGCTTTCTTGGGGCCCATGGTCACTTATTTTGCAGATAAAATCACCAAAAACACTGTAATAATATGAAATGTTCCGATTGTATACTTGGATGTTACCGCAGAGGCTGGCTTGTAAACAATGCCACCGGCGGAACATGTGAGGCTGGCTCAGGCCGCACATTAGACGCGTCTCGGATGAATAGCGTTGAGCGGGTTTTTTAGTGGTATGCGAGGCAAAATCTTAGCGATAAAATGTATCGGTATGAGGATTTAACGTTATGTGATGCCAACGGTATGCGGGGGTTACTAGTAACGGCTTCACTTTGAAATCCCCACTAGCATTAGCACAGTACATGAGCGTCAGCCTGTCTTTCATAGGCTTGTGTCCTGGAAGTGCCTTTTCTTCCTGAGTAATGTAGGTCCTCTTTGGCATTTTCTTCCAAAAAAGGCCTGTTTCGTCACAATTGAACACTTGTTCAGGTTTCAGACCTTCAGCCTCTATGTACCCTTGAATTCCTGTGCATATTTTTCAGCCGTTTTTTGGATCGAACTGGCAGTCTCACCATGCCTTATCACACTGTGTATGCCAGCACGCTTCTTAAATCTCTCAAACCAGCCTTTGCTGGCCTTAAATTCACTCACATCATCACTAGTTGCAGGCAATTTCTTTACCAAATCGTCATGCAACTGCCTAGCCTTTTCACAAATAATCAACGTTATAAGACTATCTCCTGCTAATTGTTTCTCGTTTATCCACACCAATAATAACTTCTCAACATCTTCGAGTACTGGTGATCTCATTTTTGTCAGCATATTTACCCCCTTTGCAACAAGAGCTTCCTTGATTTCCTTTTTCTTGGCTATGATGGAAGATATGGTTGTACGGGATTTGTTATACATCCTGGCCAGTTCGCCCACACGTACGCCACTTTCATATTGTTCAATGATGTTTTTCTTAAATTCAATCATATTTCTCACCTTCTTTACCAAAGGCTTGGCACTAGGAGCTTTCTTTGGAGCACTTGCAAGCACTAAAATGAATGGTATATTATGAAATATTTCGTATGAACACGTGAGGGGACCGTCGCTCACTGGTAAACAATGGCACACTGGTTGGGAAGGGAGGCCGAGGCGGCTCAGAGCCGTGAGTACGCGTCCAGGACGAAAGACAATTAGTGAGTTAACAGACCATTTGCGAGCCTATGTTCAGACAAAATAACGCGACAATTTCCGAAATGGACGACTTTCAGGCCGGACGATTATTGAGGGACCACTGTATTTTTAGACGGGGTTGTAAGAGAAGTGAATGCTCAGGTGTTGGCAAGAGGTGTGGGGTTAAAAGATAAAGAATCTAACACAAAGTGGGAGTTGTAACAGTGCTCTTTGCTGATGACACTCTCCTTTTGGGAGATTCTAAAGAGAAATTGCAGAGGTTAGTGGATGGGTTTAGTAGGGTATGTAAAAGAAGAAAATTAAGTGATGAGGATAACAAAAAAATTAGGTGACGAAAGATTGGATATCAGATTAGAGGGAGAGAGTATAGAGGAGGTAAATGTATTCAGATATTTAGGAGTGGACATGTCAGCAGGTGAGTCTATGAAAGATGAAGTGACTCTTAGAATTGGCAAGGGGAAAAAGGCGAGTGGTGCACTGAGGAATCTGTGGAGACAGAGAACTTTGTCCATGGAAGTAAAGAGGGGAATGTATGAGAGTATAGTTATACCAACATTCTTATATAGGTGTGAAGCATGGGTGATGAATATTGCAACAAGGAGAAGGCTGGAGGCAGTGGAGATGCCATGTCTGAGGGCAATGTGTGGTGTGAATATAATGCAGAGACTTCATAGTTTGGAAATTAGGAGGAGGTGTGGGATTACCAAAACTATTATCCAGAGGGCTGAGGAGGGGTTGTTGAAGTGGTTCGGACATGTAGAGGGGAAGGAACAAAGTAGAATGACTTTGAGAACATAAATCTGTAGTGGAGGGAAGGCAGGGTAGAGGTCGGCCTAGGAAAGGTTGGAGGAAGGGAGTAAAGGGGGTTTTGTGTGTGAGGGGCTTGGACTTCCAGCAAGCATCCATGAGCGTGTTAGATAGGAGCTAATGGAGAGAAATGGTTTTTAGGACTTGAGGTGTTGTTGGAGTGTGAGCAGGGTAATATTTATGAAGGGATTCAGGGAAACCGGAAGACCGGACTTGAGTCCTGGAGATGGGAAGTACAGTGTCTGCACTCTGAAGGAGGGGTGTTAATGTTGCAGTTTTATAACTATAGTGTAAGTGCATCTTTGGCAAGACAGTGATGGAGCGAATGATGATGAAAGTTTTTCTTTTTTGGGCCATCCTACCTTGGTGGGAAACGGTGGGAAACAGCCGATGTCTTAATAAATAATAATAATATAAAGTGCACAGTAGTCAATAATTTGGCCAATTTTACACAATACAAAAAATTTCAAATTAAAAATAGAGTAAAATAAACAATGTAGATATTCCTGGCATTAAAACATTTCCTCTGTTCATTACTCATGTCCCCAGGTCTCTCCTATATATATTACACTTACCCTGCATTTTTAATTCATAATCAAACAATAAATAAAAATTTACCTTATTTCTTGGATAAAAAATATAACAAGAAATGACTAGTTATGGTCTACAGCATCCCAATAATTGAATCAGACCTATTAAAACCTAATAAAACAGAATGGGGGTATAATAGGGCCTAAACCATCCCTAGGAAAATTGGCAAAAATATAAAAATTCTGCTACTTTAAACTCAATTTCAAGTTTCTTCTGGTCTTCAAAGCAACCAAAGTCATCTCAGACCCATTCTCTTGTATCTAGGCCAAAATTTATGGCTCGCAGCTTATCTGAGGAAGCTGTGCTCAAGATGTACACGTGACGAACCCTGGCATCAATAACGTAGATCAACATGACAGCCACTCCAAAGGTTAAGTCCATCAGAAAAAAGTGCAGTTTCATTAAAATACTGGAGGTGGTGGGAGGAGCAGGAATGGAGTACACACTGACAGCACCAGTGACAGCAGAATAAGCAGGAACTAGATTACTCTGAAGTGTATTAGTTTGGCAAATTGCAAGTTGGTATCAAGAGGATGGATAACATGATGAGCTGCAACTGAAGAGGTGTAACTTAGAGTGGAGAGACTGCAAAAAACTTATTAAAAGGACCTTAACTTACACTTTGGTGAACTGTAAACTTGCTTCCATAAATTCTTCTAAGAAAGAAAACCACAGTTAAACCCCCTGAGTTTATATGCTCCAGAGAAATTTATGCAAACTTGCAGCTTGCTTCACAACAGTTTCCTTAATTAATAAAGTCATTCTAGGTATTGTACTATACTAGACACGAGTAAATAAATGAACATACCTGACTGCGGCCCAGAGAGACAGAGTGATACATGCACTGGTCGGACAGTGGGATGTGCTGCCTAGTTCCATCTACATCCTCTCCTGGCTGGTACATGCTCTTTGGCACCAAACCACCCTCATGGACCACAGTCTGTGGTATATCACAAAGTATTATTTTAAGGAAATATGAATACAGTATTATGATTTTTCTGGCTTAAAGGTTGACTAATCTATCTAGCACATGAATGAAAAAAAATTTACACAATAGGATATTTTGGTACAGTATTAGACTGTACTTTTTTTTCATTTGGAATGAGAAAAGCAATAAGCAACAAAACGGACAACAAAATATAAAGCAAGGTAAAATCAATTTCAAATGCCATGTATTTAAGAAAGCAAAAAATGGTAATACAGCATTGCAGGATAAACCTGGTGCAAATAGTACTGCTTTAAAACAAGACTTTGGATGTAACACAGTAAAGCAATTAAAAAGTAAATTAAATTTAACACATCACAGCAATAAAAGATTATATTAATAACAAAGTTACTGGTAGGTATTTTAGAAATATATTACGTATATATTTTTATATTGCATTTGTTTGGGTATTGGTGGAGACATAAGCATCTAAAGGAGGATCAGATTGGTTTCAATCCAGCCAATCTAAGATGAGGGATAAAGATACTTAAACACAATCTTGAGGCAATGTTTCATATAGTTTTATGAAAGATTTGAATGAAGGTTTAATGTGGTTAAAATGCTCTGCATAACTATGGGCTTCTCAAAATTTATGAAATAATGTAACCTAAATTTGTAATAAAGTACAGTGGACCCCCATTTAACGATATTTTTTCATTCCAGAAGTATGTTCAGGTGCAAGTACTGACCGAATTTGTTCCCATAAGGAATATTGTGAAGTAGATTAGTCCATTTCAGACCCCCAAACATATACGTACAAACGCACTTACATAAATACACTTACATAATTGGTCGCATTGGGAGGTGATCGTTAAGCGGGGGTCCACTGTACTTTTAAAAACTAATATTATTTATAAGGTATTTAAAAAACACATTAAATGTAATTCTAATTGTAATATCCAGCAATGAGAAATAACTATGTAGTATTTAATGGTAGCTGACAATTAGGAAGGTGGAGGTAAAGATCAGTTGTACTGTCAGTAATATTGCATGCTTTTATAGGAGTTATTGTGTGTGTCCAGATACGATAAAGTGATGTTGAAGTTCTTTCAGTAAATCTCTAGGTTTCATTATTAATGGTATTAGTAAGCAACTATACATGCCGTTTGGGAAACCTGCTACTTGTAGGTCTGACTGAATGAGGCTGATGTTGAAGTCTCCAGCAACATCAAATGATGCTTATATAGTCCATGGTTACCACAGGTCTCTAGAATTATCACCAAAGTTGGACATTTTGGTACAGTGTATGTGGTGATCTGTACATAGCTCAAATTTTGAACAGTTTTTTATGTTAAGTTTTTGGTTGTATATTATGCATATATGTATCTCCATTTTGTCTCCGGTACATGATAACTTAATATATTTTATCTCACTAATCCTTTCAGGGTCCAGAGGCCAAATTTCAAAGTGTGCACCAGGGTCCAAGAATTTAAAAAAAAAAAAAAAAAATTCTTATGAAACGGTAGGGAATCTTTCTCTGAAGGTAATAAAACAAAAAATACGAAATTTGATGGAAAAATTGATGAAATTATGCTCTCGCAAATTTTGATGTGTCAGCGGTATTTATGCATCGGCGATTTTGCAGACTTTGACTCCCATTTTAGGCCAATAACATTATTCCAGTCAACCAAATTCTTAGCTATTTCACTAATATTACTTCTATTCTATCGATTGAGCACAAGAAATCACCAAGTCAACTGTTTCAACTACAAAATAAAGTGATCGGAAATTGGTAATTTGGTCAATTTAACGCAAAGTTCAAAATATTCCAATTTCAAAATAGGGTCCAGAATAAACAATGCAGGCATTCCTGGCACTAAACTAACATTTCCTCTGTTCATTAGTTATGTTTTCAGGCTTTACAAATGAATTCCATTTTGATTTTTTATTCACATAATGAATTTTTATTCAAACCAAAAAAATGGAAGATTTACTGTTATGCAATATTGTAATAATTGTATAAATAATATCACCACATTTGTGAACGTATATTAGACCAGCTGGCATGTATTAAACATGTGAGGTCATTTGTTTACTCTTGAACATCGACAAAAATTTAACTTTCCGCTACTTTGAGCTCAGTTTCAAGCCATTTCCAGTACTAAAACCAATCAATATCATCTCTATCTCTGTAATATATCTTCCATTCTATCAAATGAGACCAAGAAATTGCAAATACAACTATAAAAAACATACGAAAAAACACTGCAAATTCGGTTTTAATTGAAAATTACAATCTCAATTTTTTTTCTATTATGCACTGTGTGCTGCAGGATTTGTTTTATGTGGTGCACACATACCACATCTAGGCCCAAATTTACCGCTCACAGCTCATCAGAGTGAGCTGAGCTCATGGCGTAGATCTAGGGTTTGGACTCTCAAAGGGTCCAAACCGTAGATCCATTACATTAACCCTGAAAGGGTTAATGTAATGGATTTGTAGTTCCACTTCCCTTTTGATCAGTTCTGCAGTTATATTTGGCTGTGTACCTAGGTAATTTATTATGTCTCTTTTTCACCCCACCCTACCTCAGTGGGAGACAGCTAGTGTCAAAAATTTTAATTTTATTTAGGCAGGTTTCTCTAAGAATAATTAGTTAGCAGCAGACTGGTTTTAGTGACTCTAGGAGTTCACTGATGTCACTGTAGTGTTTACTTAGAAATCTGGCAATGCAGTTAAATCCTGAGAAGTTCTTGGTGTTTGCTAAAACTAGTTTTGTTTGGTTAGCTGTATACAGATTTGGTCTGCAGTGAATTGATTATTATTATACTTCAAAATTAATGTTGGCATTCATGGGCTGTAATGCACCAGTAAGGAAGAGTTAGAGCTGTCTAATGGTTTCCATCTACCATTAACCCTTTGAAGGTCGACACGCCCTCACCGAGACTCGTTCTCAGGGTCAGCCAAATTAAAAAAAAAAAAAAAAAAAAAAAAAAAAAAAAAAAAAAAAAAAAAAAAAAAAATTCTTATGAAAAGATAGAGAATCTTTTCCCTATCATAATGACACCAAAAATATGAAATTTGATGGAAAACTTACGGAATTATGCTCTCGCGAAGTTAGCGGTCTCGGCGATGTTTACAGATCGGCGATTTTGCCCACTCTGAGCCCCATTTTCGGCCAGTTACACTGTACTAGTCGACAAAAAACATGAATATTTCGCTAGAACTCCATTTTTTCTATTGAATGAGTGCACGAAACCACCCGTTTACCAATTTCAACTATCCAGCACAGTGGTCAGAATTTAGCAATTTTGCGAATTTCACACAAATTTCAAAAGATGCCAATTTCCGAATAGGGTCCAGAACAAACAAGAAATACATTCCTGGCACTAAAATGACATTTCCTCTGTTCATTAGTCACGTCTCAAGGCCCCTCTTACATTCTTTTGCTTTCCACTTTGAATTTTTATTCTCACAAAATATAGAAGATTTACTGTTATGCAGACTACTACATTAGTGTAAAAAATGGTATGAATCATATTGGCACACTTGCAAAAGAATATTAGACTCACCAGTTGACGTGTATTGGATGCTTGGCATGATTTGTTTACTTTTGAACTTTGGTAAAAATCGAACATTTCTGCTACTTTGAGCTCAATTTCAAGGTACTTTTCATTGTAAAACCAGTCAAAATCATCTCAATTTCTATGACAGGCCTTCCATTCTATAAAATGAGACCAAGAAAATTAGAATACAACAATAAATACCATACGAAAATACAGTGCAAAGTCGCTGTTTTATTCCAAAAAAACGGTCAAAGTTTTTTTTTTTTCTCATTATGCACTGTGTGCTGCAGGATTTTTTTTTATACCGTGCACACTGACCACATAGACCCATTCTTTCATATGGAGGCCTACCAGCTTTCTCCCACTAGATTTGAGGGCGCTAGAATTTAGGCGTACTAGTACGTCAAAAACCCTGGGTCGTAAGCCGTACTAGTACGTCCGAAACCCTCAAAGGGTTAATGATAATACAGTATATAACCATAAATTGTTTTACACAGTGGTAGGAGTTCTGGTAGCATTTCTTTCTGTCTCATAAATGCACAAGATAGCAAGTACATCTTGCTACTTTAACTTATACGTACTCAGGTCACACTACACATGCATGTACACATATATGTATACACACCCATGTGAGTTTTCTTCTATTTTTTAATAGTTCTTGTTTTTATTTCTTTTCATATCCATGGGGGAAGTGGAAAAAGAATCTTTCCTCAGTAAGCCATTTATGTCGTAAAAGGTTACTAAAATGCCAGGAACAAACGAGGGGCTACCAACCCCTTTTCCTGTATAAATTATTAAATGCAAAAAGAAGAAAAACTTTTATTTGGTGGAAGATGGCTGGTATGTTTAAAGAGTATACATGTATATAACTGTAAAATAAGAATTCTTCCTCCGTAAACTAAGCGTGTCGTAGTAGGAGGCGGCTAAAATGCCGGGAGCAAGGGGCTAGTAACAGTTTGTTGAAAGAAAGAAAGAACTGTAAAATATGCTAATTGTAATTTTAAGCAGCAAAATTGTAAGAATACTAAAAATACTGTATAATTATATAAACAAGAGTAATGCTATACAGAATAATACAGGATGATATACAAAAAACATTATTATATACTGCACTGTACAAAAAACAGGATATGCAAAAAATGGAGAATATACTACACAAAACAAGATAATGTATGCAAAAATGATACAGTAAAACCCTGATTTAACAGGTTTTGGAAATAACAGACAAAATCCATTCTATAAACAACTTTTGGAAATGACAGACGGTCCACTTTCCAAAACTATCTAGTATTGTTATAGTAAATAATGGACAAATCTGCTGAACAGAGTACTGTTCATTTTTGTCAAAGCTAAAAAAAAACCTCATTTATCCCCCACAAAAAGTAAATACAATTACTGTACTTTTAACTCTTTCATATTAAATGTTTATTAGCAGGACACAATAGATA